GAAACAAATAAACAACTTTCTAAAAAAGTATTCACAAAATATATTTTTTCTACACTGTAATTGTATGAGGGAAAGGGTTTTGTTGTACTTATCTCCACATAACATTGTGTCAGCTTGCTGCATTGTGCGACATGTATAGGGAGTGGCAGTGATTCAAGCTGCACTTTTTGTTTCAGTCAGCAAGAATTCACTCGAAAAGTCCTTCAGTCAATTTCTTTCGGGGCAGGCCTGAATATTTTAAAAATAAATATTATATGTTCTGCAAAATTTTGGAATTTTTTTTTTGTCTTCATGTATAAAGGAAAATAAATTCATTTGACAAAATATTGCATCAGCATCATCGCAGGCTCCATGGTTTAGCCCTCACTCAATGTAAGTTCAAAGTCCCATTAACTCACACTAAGTGAAAATCAGTTCTTTAAGGGCAAGTCAACATAGCAACTTTACAGATATTGATTTAAACATATTTTTAAACATATTATTAAACATTTTATTCAATAAATTAATCTGGATTGGTAAACAAGTCATCTGACTTATGTTAATACCACTCCAGTATAAAATAATAGAAAAAATATTTTAAGTAACATCGAATTATGTGGGTTCTATACATACATTAAACAGAACAAAAACAAGTGGTCAATAGTTTGGTGCAGTTCATGGAAAGGTGTTCAAATATTAAGAAAAGCAAGTCATTAACTATTTAATACTTATCACTTATATTAAAGTATGAATTAAATCTAAGTTATTACATATGTGCAAATCTAACAGTGTAGGATGAACATATGGACCAAATTCAAAATATCTAAATTGACAGATTTTGTTTCATTTTCATTCCCATCAAGCACTGAATTTGAACTGTAATGTTATAAAAAGAAAAAACAAATCGTTTCTAATAATATATTTAGTTAGGGCATGTGAAAAAATAATGCAGTATATCTTCAAAGGGATAGCCTCAAGAGCATGATGCGTTGTCTGAGATGTGTCTTTCAAGCCGATGGAAGTTTAATTCGCTACAACCCAATCTGAGGCGAGAATGGATTGTCTGACAGAATCTGGTACTATGGTTTAAGTTAAAATATATATGCAGATAGTAGTACTTAAGGACATACCTATTCACAAATACTTGACCAAAATTAAATTTGAAAAGCAGAAATAATGTAAAACAGCGATAAAATAATGACAGGCAAAATCATCCCCTAAACAAAATTTTCCTCCATGAAGGGGATTCCCCTTCCTGGAGGTTAAAACATGTTCCCAATGTTTGACGTGCTGTGCAGTTTCAATGATAGAGCCAATGCCCAGTCTGCTCTGTGGTTTATTGGGGAGGGGGGGGGGGGGTCTTCCTTCTTGGCCAGCACCTGTTGTTATAGGTACAAATTCACCCGAGCATGGTGATTGGTAAGATAATAGGGGATTAAGGGGGCCATATCACACGTGACACAACTGATTGGTGAATATCTCACAAAGTATAAGAACACAACTAATTGTTGAAATATACTTGTATACACTTTACTGAGGGACAACTTTTAAAATATGTATCAATGCGTGACTGAACATATTAATTGTTTAATAGTATGATTAGGGCTATAAAACTAGTTATAGACAAGAAACAGTTTTCCACTGTGGCAAATGAGCAGGTTGATATAGTTTCTTTCCAAGTTTAACAGGGGTGGGTACTTGGCTTTTGCCAGATACAAATTCATGATTAAGACCGGACTTCAAACTTCAATTAATTGAAAATATTCCAATAGAGGATGCCCGACCACCATTAACATCAAAGATGACTTTGTCACGAAGCACAATAATATGTCACTGAGCAGTGGGCCGATGCCAACAAAACATTTCGAGGGGTGGCATCCAAGTCTGTACAATTCATTGAGATACTGGGCCCCGTTCTACAAAGCGATCTTAGCGCTACGATTGTCGTAAGTCAGTGTTAAAGAATTGGAGTTATGATCGACTTAGTGCTAAGATCACTTTGTGGAATGGGGCCCTGCAGGTTGAGCTGGATAGTACTGTGATAACAAGCCAGTTAGTTTGATACCACCCAAGAAGAAGTTTTGAAACCTTGACCATGCCTATGAGAGGCAGACGCGACAACTTCTTGCCAACCAGAAACCAGTTAACAATTATAACAATGCAGATTGTTAATTGTTATCTTAATTATTCACACATTCAACAGTGTATACAATGTCGTTATTTTTGTAGGATTAACAGAAAAAGCAGAAGTAGTATATGTATAACTGCTAAATATCACACATAAGCCAAAACAAACCTTAAAAAGAGACAGTCACACAGGCTGATTCAGATCATCAGATTGATTAAATGTGAAATTAAGACAACAAAAGGCCCCTCTCAGGAAAAGTTAACTCAGTCTTGATAAGTAACTCTCAGATAAGCTAACTTCAGTAGTTTCGGAGAAAACTTGTCCCCAAGGCACACAGTATGCACTAAGTTAAATGACATGGATGAAGGGCCATAACTCTGTAATAAACAAATAATTTACAGGACCAATTTTCGAACTCAGTCTTGACAAATATCTCCTAGATAAGCATTCAAACTTTCATTCAAATTACTTCAGCCTTTTCTGTGAACATCTGACCTATTGCGCACACTATGCACTTAGTTGAAAAGCATGGAGCAAGGGCCATAACTCTGTAAAACAATACTTGAAGGGACAAATATTTGAACTCAGTCTTGACAAGTATCTCTTAGATAAGCTTGCAAAGCTTCCATCATGTAATTTCAGTAGATGCTGAGAAAACTTGTCAACAATTTCACACAGTATGCACTAAGCTGAAAAGCATGGTGCAATGGCCATAACTGTAGAGTATAAAATTTCATTTCTCTAACTTGAAATCGCTTTTGAGAAAATTTGTCCACATTGAGGAGCGGGGGACGGATGAACGAATTCTGTTCCGATATCACCACCCCACTTCGTGGTAATTACCCGGTGTAAGGTGCCAAAATCTACCCCCCTTCAGTGTATACCTGGGTAGATTCTGGGAGCTCCCAGATTATACCCCGGGGTAGATTCTGGGAACTCCCAGAGTATACCCCCGGGGGTTGATTCTGGGAAAGGGGGGTTGATTCTTGGAAAGGGGGGTAGATTCTGGGAGCTCCCAAAATCTACCCCGGGGTAGATTCTGTAAGGCCCCAGAATCTACACGGGTATACTTTGAAGGGGGGGTATACTTTCAGACTTTACACCGGCATATGAATACATTACTTAAAATGTTGATGACAACAGGTGTTGGTGAAAAGGGTGAGCAGATCCTGCTCTGGGAGCACGCAATACTGACACAATTTGCATAAAAAGTAAGTGTTTGTTTGTTGCCTAATGCCACACACAGTTATACTCCTAACATACAATGGTGACCTGTAAACAATCAAGTCTCCACCTGACAATCCAGTGATATGTTTGCACATTTACTGATATCATTGAAACCAAATACAATTTGTTAATTCTGAGTTACTTCTGCTGCATAAAAGTGCAGAGATTCTGCTGCTTACAATCCAAGAGAAATATGTTCATATGTTCTTCGGGGGGCAGTTTCAAGGTCTCGGCCAAAACATTGATTCTCATTCCCCCAACCCCCCAACCAATTAAGGGCTACTTCTTGCCCATTCATCAGGTTTTTGTTTGTTGTTTAACGTCACACTCAGCAATATTCCAGCTATATGAAGGCGGTATGTAAGAAAATTGAGTCTGGACCACACATCCCATGCAATAGGGATATTATGATAACATGCATCAACCATGTCAGCGGGCCTGACGACCCAATCCCGTTAGTTGCCTCTTACGACAAACATAGTCGCCTTTTACGGCAAGCATGGGTTGTTGAGATCTATTTTATCTGGATCCTCACAGGTCCATTCATCAGGTGAATGACTGAACGAGCACATGTTAGTTATTTGTTATCTGGCATTCTGATATCTTTTACTCCACATGTCAAAGCTTCATGCTCTTAGTCTCCTCTCGCAGTTTCCCAACTGTTGATGGGTTGTAACAATGCAACACAAACAAGATGATTACTGGGTTCTGTCTCCAAGGTCTCGCTGTGACAGGAAAGGGAAGGAAATCTCAACATACTATCTCATATTATCGTAATGGATGTTCAGGACAGAAAACTACGTCTCCAAAATTTGACGATATGAAGTTCAAGTCGCATTTCAAACTGGTCAGTCTGATCTGAAATACAATAACCGTACTCCAGAGTTCTGCAATGGTTTCTTTGTTTCTTGGTTTATGTCACAGTCAACAATAGTCCTGGGTGCCGTTGAACAACACGATCTTAGCTCAAAGGCAATCGTAACTCCCATACCTTAGCATAGACTTACGACAGTCGTAGCGCTAAGGTTGTTTTGTACAATGGTACCCAGCTATATTATGGCAGGCTGTAAATAATCAACCTGGGCCAGGCAAACCAGTGATTGGCAGCGGGAGTAACCAAACCTGATCACCCAATTCCCATTGTACTTGGCTCTTCTGACAAGCACAAGGTACTGTGAACCTATTCTGACCAGGTTCTCATTTAACAAAGCAATAGTAATGCTACAAATGTCGTGATTCCAAAAGTTTAACATAGACTTACGACAGTCAAAGCAATATGTTTGCTTCATTAAACAGGGCCCGGGACTATCAACATGGCAATGTTTTTACCTCTGTAATGATCAAAATTAAGACACACATAAAATAACAAGGACAGCTGTAAGGTGGAAGGTAAAAACAAGACTGCAGGACTCACCGGAAGTGTTTAAGGAGTGTTGGAATGTAAAACAAGACTGCAGGACTCACCAGAAGTGTTGAAGCAGTGTTGGAAGGTAAAACAAGACTACAGAACACACCGGAGGTGTTGAAGCAGTGTTGGAAGGTCAAATCAAGACTGCAGGATTCACCAAAAGTGTTGAAGCAGTGTTGGAAGGTAAAACAAGACTGCAGGACTCACCAGAAGTGTTGAAGCAGTGTTGGAAGGTAAAAACAAGACTGCAGGACTCACCAGAAGTGTTGAAGCAGTGTTGGTTCAGCGTGATGTCATCCAGAGAAATGTTTCCCTCAGGACGCATACCAACATAGGCCTTGAACTGGAGCTTGAATCTGTAATGAATATCAGTATGAATAAGCAGTCAAACTATCCCGGGGAGGTCTCGCCTATCAGACTCAATTAAATCTTACCCTTTATGGAAGACTGGGCTACTGAATCTGGCACCTAATACAGCCTAGTTCAGATGATACGTAGTGCCTTGTGTGACACGAGGGTGATCAGACATAGTATAATTAAGTGTTCCCTAACGTTGAATATATAAATAATTTATTTTACAGTTTTATTTACAATCTGACAAACTTTAATACTATGAATATTAAAATCCATCGTCTGACACCAGGTGGAACTTGTCACATATGTAGTTGTTGTGTTGTGTTTTGTTTTATGACGCACTCATAACAAACAAATGTATACCATGTATCTGTTTCTTATAGGGTGGGGATAATATCGGTTCTAATGAGCAGTGGTATATACGACGGGGATTTTGACGATCTTTTAAGTAATTATGACCCAAAGTCCCTTTCGAGCCAGACCCCTCGGGTGGCAACAGACTCCAAGGCAGATTCTGGTAACATGAATGTATTTGTGTTATGATGTCAAGTCAATGTATATATAGATTCCAAGTTAGGATTCAATTTCTCCCTTCTGGCCATGCTTCATCTTTACATTGACGAGTATCAAATACAGTCAGACAAAAGGGCAGTCTATATCAATTTTCAATATCCTGCTATAATTAGTAGAATTAGTCCCCAACCAAACTTTCGCTCTCTAATTCTTACAAACACAAAACAAAAGTGGAAAATACAAAGTCACGAGACATCCATTTGCTCCTCAACACAATAATATTTTAATTTTAGTTTTTAATTAATCATGTTTACAGTTAATTATTGATCAGTGCCCCTTATGTTCTAAGAAAGGTTTATTACCATTAGCCATGGTGGGTAGCCTGAAAATATTACATACAAATGCATTTCCCTGATTGTAATAGTGTATCTCACAAAAATCGTGACTACATTCTTTACAACAATATTCATAACATATTTAGCAGTGTAAATTTCACCATTGTGATGGAAATTATTTAAATTATTTGATCAATAGGGAAAAATAAATGTTGGTCTAAACTCAAGTGAGGAAGAGAGTTTATGGATGTCAACTTCTTTATTATGAGGAACACAACGTTTCTGAGTATATGCTTACTCCTTCATCAGGTGATTAAGCACATACTCTGGAACGTTGTGCTCCTCATAATAAAGAAGTTGACATCCATAAACATCCTTCCTTATGTGTAACACTTCTAAATGCCTTTCAAAGACTTAACTTAAGTGGTCTATGATTGTGATCATGATGATGATAAGGATTTTCTTAATATTCTTTCAAATAACATCATCTGTCATGTCCTGTTTCGACTACATGCGCTGGAGTTGAAGAGTCGTCTGGGAGACAAGTCAGCTGATTTGATTTGGGCTTTCTAATAGACCCTTTGGGGCAAGTGGCTGAGTGCTTAATGCTTTGTCACTTGATATCCTCCTCACAACAAACTTTGCATGAATGTCACGACGAGCATGCATTGCCACTATCATGGGAAGTCATTTATATCCTTGTCATATCTGCTGAAGCACTTGAATTTACTCTTCTACAGGGTGAGGCAGGGAGTTATGTTAGACACAGAATTAGAGAATAACCAGTGAGCTACGAGGAATAACAGATTATCTGTCCAGAGTGCATGAATGGTGAAATTCCAATTTAGAGTAGGTTATTATATAGGTTATTTCTCATTGACATTAACGAGAGAAAATGAAAAAAAACTATGAAATGTCAACCCTACAGAGAAACTTCACTGAAGGCAGCCTATTGTTCAGGTGATGTAATGTAATCAATCTGTGACGTCATGAACAATGGATGACGTCATACCATATTTTTCTCAACAATGAAGCTCTGTGATGTCACATGGCTTCAATTGACCAATCAGCATTGACAATTGCCAAATGCACATGTGCAAATATCAGAAGGTTATGCCACATGATCATTCTACCCTTAAGGGTAATAGTATGTTTTTGATGCCAACTTGAAGAACACAATCTGTTTCTCTGAAATCAGACAATTAATCTTTCACAACACATTTTTTTTCTGCACATGTAAAGCGAACAACTGTTTGAAAAAAACTTAAAAGCCAACTTTCAGATTATGAAAAAGTCAGTCCCGTACCGTCTGGTGACATTAATGATGTCGACTACTTCATAGTTGTAAGATTTCCATTCAAAGTTATCAAACTTATGAGTCCAGATCCGCCTACTGTCCAGCCCCTCCTCCTTGACCAGCACGTCCAGTCTGTACACGTCACGACCATAGTTGTACATGAAGAATCGCACCTGCCAACAAGCAACTCTGTAGAATTTTTTTGGTTTGGTTTGGTTTGTTGTTTTACGCCACACTCAGCAATATTCCAGCTATATGACGGCAGTCTGTAAAATAATCGAGTCTGGACCAGACAATCCAGTGATTGATATCATGAGCATCGATCCACGTAATTGGGATCGATGACCTGCATCAAACCAAGTCAGCGAGCCTGACCACCCGATCACGTTAGTCGCCTTTTACGACAAGCATAGTCGCCTTTTATGGCAAGCATGGGTTGCTGAAGACCTATTCTATCCCGGATCTTCACGGGTCGCAACTCTGTAGAATACTTCCAACACAACATATAATGAATAAAACATGGAGGACTAACAACTTAAACTAAATTCTATAGATTTAACACTGTTGCTCACCTGGATATGTAGTCAACAGTTTAAAATGTTAACAAAGACTGCCACTTACCATTGAAATTCAAATATTTTATGCATGAAGGAGAATTATGGGTTTAAAAAAATCAATGCACAATTTCTTCGCAATACAAATGAGATCCACAATGCAAACTTGTCAACTGAAAACAGTGTCAGTGAGTATCTTTGCTTTGATGAGTTCACCCATGGGTATGGTGCTGACAAGCATAGAAACAAGACCAGGAAAAATCTGAATTTGGAACCCACGATCAGAGGACACAACTCTGTACAGCAAATTGCAGCAAGTGAGATGACTGGCACCCCATGCCCCCAGCATATGCCTGACAACACATAACAGTCTTAGCAACTGTATAAGACATAATCCACTCAGCATGAAAAGAATTTATCAGCAAGGAAAACATAAACAAATATCAGGATGAGCAATATAGTTTGTCATGCTGACTTGTCCATCGCGACATATCATTCCAGTTACTTAATAAATTATCAATTTTTAAGATATGATTTTATTTCATGTTTTTAATGGCTGGTTATAATCTGCGAAAAAGGTATTGGGTGTAGGAGTATTGAGTGTAGGGGTATTGGGTGTAGGGTATTGGGTTTAGGGTGTAGGGTATTAGGTATTAGGTATAGGGACATTGGGTGTAGGGGTATTAGGTATAGGGACATTGGGTGTAGGGGTAATAGGTGTAGGAGTATTAGGTATAGGGACATTGGGTGTAGGGGTATTAGGTGTAGAGGTATTAGGTATAGGGAAATTGGGTGTAGGGGTATAGGGGTATTGGGTGTAGGGGTATTGGGTGTAGGGGTATTGGGTGTAGGGGTATTGGGTGTAGGAGTATTAGGTATAGGGACATTGGGTGTAGGGGTATTAGGTGTAGGGGTATTAGGTATAGGGACATTGGGTGTAGGGGTATTGGGTGTAGGGGTATTAGGTGTAGGAGTATTGGGTGTAGGGGTATTAGGTATAGGGGTATTGGGTATAGGGGTATTAGGTATAGGGACATTGGGTGTAGGGGTATTAGGTGTAGGGACATTCAGGTATAGGGACATTGGGTGTAGGGGTATTCAGGTATAGGGACATTGGGTGTAGGGGTATTGGGTGTAGGGGTATTAGGTGTAGGAGTATTGGGTGTAGGGGTATTAGGTATAGGGGTATTGGGTGTAGGGGTATTAGGTATAGGGACATTGGGTGTAGGGGTATTAGGTGTAGGGATATTCAGGTATAGGGACATTGGGTGTAGGGGTATTAGGTGTAGGGGTATTCAGGTATAGGGACATTGGGTGTAGGGGTATTAGGTATAGGGACATTGGGTGTAGGGTGTAGGGTATTAGGTGTAGGGGTATTAGGTAAAGGGACATTGGGTGTAGGGGTATTAGGTGTAGGGGTATTAGGTAAAGGGACATTGGGTGTAGGGGTATTCAGGTATAGGGACATTGGGTGTAGGGGTATTAGGTGTAGGGGTATTAGGTGTAGGGACATTGGGTGTAGGCGTGTAGGGTATTAGGTGTAGGGGTATTAGGTAAAGGGACATTGGGTGTAGGGGTATTCAGGTATAGGGACATTGGGTGTAGGGGTATTAGGTGTAGGGACATTGGGTGTAGGCGTGTAGGGGTATTGGGTGTAGGGGTATTGGGTGTAGGGGTATAGGGGTATTGGGTGTAGGGGTATAGGGGTATTGGGTGTAGGGGTATTGGGTGTAGGGGTATTGGGTGTAGGGGTATTAGGTGTAGGGACATTGGGTGTAGGGGTATTGGGTGTAGGAGTATTGGGTGTAGGGTATTGGGTGTAGGGGTATTGGGTGTAGGGGTATTGGGTGTAGGGTATTGGGTGTAGGGGTATTGGGTGTAGGGGTATTGGGTGTAGGGGTATTAGGTGTACAGGTATTAGGTGTAGGGACATTGGGTGTAGGGGTATAGGGGTATTGGGTGTAGGAGTATTGGGTGTAGGAGTATTGGGTGTAGGGGTGATGGCTGTAGGGGTATTGGGTGTAGGGTATTGGGTGTAGGGGTATTGGGCGTAGGGAATTGGGTGTAAGGGTATTGGGTGTAGGGGTATTGGGTGTAGGGACATAGGGTGTAGGGGTATTGGGTGTAGGGGTATTGGGTGTAGGGACATTGGGTGTAGGAGTATTGGGTGTAGGGGTGATGGCTGTAGGGGTATTTGGTGTAGGAATATTGGGTGTAGGGGTGATGGCTGTAGGGGTATTGGGTGTAGAGTATTGGTTGTGGGGGTATTGAGTCCATCAGTGGGATATTGAGTGTAGGGGTATTGGGTGTGGGAGTATTGGGTGTAGCAGTATTGGGTGTAGGGTATTGGGTGTAGGGGTGACTCAGTTGGTTGGGCACGCCAGAAACCTATAATTGCGGGTACGAATCCATGTTGGACCCGATTATGTTTCTGGGTTTGTCAGCACCAGAACTCTGCTCGTGGGTTTCACCAAAGTGGTAAATGTCTGAGACCTGCATCACTTCAGGCTTTCCTCCAAAATTAAGCTGACATTGCCGTTATATGATTGGAGTATTGTTAAAAGCGGCATTAACCCAACTCACTCATTCTAATATTTACCTTCATGCCATTGCAAAGCCTAAAAACACCAAACAACATAATAGATACAGTGATCGCTCGCTATTGCACTCTTCGATAAAGCGCTACTTCGGTTATTACGCGCGGTAACGCATGGCTCCCAAAATTTATGTACACTTTTAATGCTGAGAGTTTTACACAGACATGATTGTATTGTTGTTCGTTGTTTATTTGCACATAACGCTTCTCATTGCATAATCAACGGTTTATCGCTGAATGGAGTTCTAATAATCTGTTTGAAAACATCCGCGGCAGGTCCCGGAAATACGATTGTTCTACTAGTTAACTTTTCACACTATACATCCTTTGATCTTAGAAGCGCATGCATGCAATAAAAGAGAACCACAAGCGAAGTTTATATTCTTAATTAGTGGGCAATCCAATTTAAGGCTAAACTGTCACACACATGTAGTTGCTGTCACAACACGGCGGTCATTCATTTCGTAATCGCGCTTTCGTAACATCGCCTGTTTTTTCCCCGTAGTTATAACAAGCGATTTCATTGGATTAAAATTTGTTTCTAATGACGCTTTCTTGCCGAAATCTGCTACAAGTTTCGTGATTGGTCAATTTTGAGCACGTGACCTCAGGCAGCCAATCAAGCTGTGATACCAAGCTCGTGTTTGATAAATTTCAGAAGTTAGCGAAAGATTTTTTGTTAAATCGTGTTATTCTGAACGTTTTAAGCAGGAAATCACGATATATATTAAAAATATGGAACTTCGCGAAAGTATCGTGCTAGGTTACGAGCTGTGACAAAGATTTTTCATGCATATATTTTTGCATTAAACGTTGTGTCCGAGCCGAGAATTCAAGGCGACGAAAGCCTAGATGTCATTTGACTTACATTACACGCGATCGCACGAAACGATGGAAATAATAACTTAGATGTAAGTTTGATTACTTTTAGATATATTTTTGTTGATTTTATTTATCACTTTGTATAATATATTTAAAGATTTGCTTAAAATAGTCCTTATTTTGCTCTTTGACATGTTCGATGCGGACCCGTTGTCGAAATGTGTGTCCGAGAATTTTATTTTCAATAACATCGCGGGAAATAGTGAATAATTTTTAATTTATTGATAAAAAATGATAAATTAGAATGGAATACGTATTTCAGACATTGTGAAATATGACAGATTTAATAAATGAATGATATTACAGGTAGATCTAGGTCCATAAAAATATATACTATTTTGACGTGACGTGAGATAAACACATAGGCCTATTGATGATTTGAGATTTGCCGAGCGCGCTCCCCCGCCTCGGCCTCGGTTAAACGGCTCATCGTCTATAACGCCCACCAATTATTTGGACCCCATTGGTAGCGCAATAGCGAGCGATCACTGTATAACCTTGTGTTTATATGGGACAACTGTGCTGATTTTACAAGTGCTTCAAAAAATCAGCTGAAGGAATATGTCAGGGCTAACTGATTTGACTTCTTGTTTGAGTAACCTCCCTTGGATTAGAGAATCCCTGGGCCAATTAAAAAAAAATCAATCTATACACTGACCACATAAAAGTATCACATATAGGCTGACTGGCAATAAACAGACTCTTGAGAAAGAGACATTATTTTGCAGAAAATTATACTGACGATCTGCATGCACAAACAAGTTTTTTTGTGATAACGGCATGAGTGAACAATGTCAGATGATGCTAAGTGTTACTGTTGTATAAAGTCTAGGTTACCTGACAAGTCTCCTTGCTTTTTACTGGTGGCCGAGCAAACGTGACACTCTCCAGGATAGCAGACTCTCCCTGAGGACCCTTGCTTGCATCAATGTTTATGAAGTGGTCTGCAATTTCACAAAGTCATTACTCCTGAACAGCGTCTAAACCTAGGAGGTGGGGTGAAATTGCGGTATAATGTCACATTCATGACCATTGCACATATATAGTGAGTTGCATGTAGGTGTGTGGCTGCTTGTGGCTCTGGACATACCATGTTTTTGACTATTGCTAGACTATTGAGATAACATGCCACATGCCAAGTAGGCACAACTTGCAATGTTTCTAAACAAGCAAGGCAACATCCCGTCTATCAGGGATCAAGTCACAATTCACAATTGTAAATATGGTTCCTGAGCAGAAACCCTCACTATCGCAAAACTGCATGCAGTATTCTTTGAAAGGCATTGTTTTGAAGTTGACCAATGACAAAGTAGAGATAATTTATGGATAACAACTTCTTTATTTACTGTAAAGGCGACGTTTTGGTATAGATCCTTATACAGTTGTCAAGCAAGGCTGAATAATGAGCATGGTAGAGAAATATACATATTCTGCACCATGGGATGAGGATGACCGTGTAATCTGTCACCTCCAGCTTCGAATTCTGAAGCAGTTTGTCTAGGAAAGACCATGAAGGGAATTTATTGATAGCATGTCGATCTGGAGAGCCACTGGGTACCGGGCTGACGTAAACTGTAAGCTGATGATTGAGACATGTCGTAAAGAGATCCAGATCACAGTGTCCCAAAGCTAATTATAAAAGTGATCTAGGTGAAGATGCAGAGTCCACTCCGTGGCTACGATCCTTCCACTGCGGGACAAACTGTCTGCTAGTATGTTCAACCTGCAGGGAATGTATCATGCTTTCATCCAGTAGTTGAAGGAGTCTGCAAGGCAAAGAAACCAGTAGTTTCCATCATCAGAGAACATGACTTGGTTCCTTCCTGTTTGTTGACATAAGCCACCACCGTGGTATTGTCCGTGATGATCAGGACGGATGAGTTGAGAAGCAAATCTTGAAAGCACAGATCACTTTCATCTCCCTACAGTCCTTCTCCGTCTTGGTCCATAAGCCCAGTGTCTTGAGATCGTCTATGTGGGCTCCCAAACCAGAATCTGAGGTATCCGTAAATAGATGGTGGTCGGGAGGTGGTAAAGTGAGAGGAATCCCCACCGTGACATGATCACAACGAGTCCACCAGGACAGATTGTGAAGGACGTTGAGAGCCATGTTTACCAGGGAATCCAGGGCTAGCAGTTGAAGGGAGTTGATCCAGTCCTGCAGAGGGCGTAACCGACACTGGCCCCTGTGAGTCATATCTTGCAGAGAGGACAGGGTGCCTAAGAAGGATATTCACCACCTGATCCACTGAGTTGGTTGATCCAGTACCGTGTGGATCATCATGAGAGCCTTGGTAAACTGTTCCTCTAGAGGACAGGGATTTCCTGCATGAAGAAGAAATCTGGGCCTGATGTAAACAATGTCCAGTAACGGCAGGACTTCCGATTTTGACGGATAGATGCTGAAACCTGGATAAGTCAGGAGTTGGATGAGGAAAACTGATGATGGGACCGTGATCCAGGTGAAGAGCCAAGGCGCTATCAAAATCCTGAACGGCAAGACCCGGAACTCATAGTTTCGGCCGTTTACCACAAAACAGATGAACTTCTGTGACGTGCAATGAATCGGCACACATAAACACACGCGATTGATGGTTGAGGCTGATGAGCCAATTGAATGTTCGGAGGGACGAATGCAGCTTCTAAATCTATTCCAACTGGAATTTTGGAGGTGGGACCAAATATGACTTGTTGAAGGGCTTGAGATCAATGATCATTTTCACCACTGATTTCGTCTGGTGGGGACCGAATTGGAAGCAGCCATCAAGACCTTTATCGCCAAACAGGCCATTCGGTGTCTTTGAGATTCCGACGACAGCCGGGAATTTTACTCTCCTGTCGTCTTAGTCCCAAAGAAACACTACATAGAAATGAAAATGATCATCGATCTCAAGCCCTTCAACAAGTCATATTTGGTCCCACCTCCAAAATTCCAGTTGGAATAGATTTAGAAGCTGTATTAGTCCCCCTGAACATTCAATTGGGTCATCAGCCTCAACCATCAATCGCGTCTGTCTATGTGTGCCGATTCATTTGCTCTAGACGATTCCAGGGAACCTGTATGAGAACCTTGTGGCAGTCGGTTTCACTCCATACCGGCAGAAGACTGGTGGTCAAAGCGGTCAGTGCGGGAGCCATACGGGACCTCTGATGAACCCATGCCCTTAGGTTCAACCTCAGTTCTCCGTGGGTCTAACGGGATATTCAGATGGCTGGGCAGAACAGGGTAAGGCATGGTCGCCAATACCCAGCTGGTCGTCCGGAGGTCATGCGACCGAGGCGCTGGCACACAAAGATGGTTGGGGCTCAACTGGAAACATTCCCCCATGTGGTCTCCTGGCCTTGGGATTCTTCTAAGCTGGTAAGGCCTGAGCCATCTTTAACTGAACGATCTCTGATGATAGATAGGAGACAAGTAAGACTTCCATGGACGCCTTTTGATGTGCAAAAAGTTTCTCCCATGTGACCATTGAAAAACCAGAAGCTGGAACCATAGGTGTTGTCTCTAGCACACACAGGTAAGAAGTAAGGTTTTTCCCACCTTTGTGCACAAAAGAGCTGTCCGGCTACTCTAGCTATTGCGTGACAACTAGTTGTGTGTAGTTGACAGTGAACAGGACTTCTATTGAAAATCTGATTATAGGATTATGGCAATGATGTAATACAGGAAGGGGATTCGCAAAAATTATCCTATATTAGGAATAAATGCTGTATTTTGTTTGTTACATACAAACAGTGTTTATTCCTAATACAGGATATTTACCATCCCACAACAGACTTGCAATTTATATAACTCCACCTTAACATGCATGCATGTATAACAGCTTAGCTATTTGGTGAGATTTCAGAAAACACAATGGTATTAAAAGTATGTCACATAAACAACATGTTACTTTTTAATGTAACAAATTAATCAACAAACATTTGTATCTCACTTAGATCCACGAGCAAACATTTGTATCTCACTGAGATCCACGAGCAAACATTTGTGTCTTAGTTCACAGAGCAAACATTTGTATCTCACATAGATCCACGAGCAAACATTTGTATCTCACTTAGATCCATCGACAACCATTCGTATCTCACATAGATCGACAAGCAACCATTTGTATCTCACATAGATCGACAAACAACCATTTGTATCTCACATAGATCGATAAACAACCATTTGTATCTCACATAGATCCACGATCAAACATTTGTATCTCACATAGATCCATGTGCAACCATTTGTATCTCACATAGATCCACGATCAAACATTTGTATCTCACATAGATCCATGTGCAACCATTTGTATCTCACATAGAACCATGAGCATAATGTGAAGATGTCAATAGTCTTCCTTGATACATCAATGCAAAGTATGAGGCAACATTTTCGAACAATTACAATTTATGAAGTAACAGTGTTAGAATACTGTATCTTGTCAATATATTCATACATCTATGTTGTATTCTCAGTATTTGTATTTTCTAGACTTTCTACACACCACAGCTGAGAGATGATCTTTCTCTCTTAGGTTTACATCGACGATATTGATGCCTACTTCTGTAATTCGCAAATAATCTCAATTAATTATCATCTTTGGCCAGGACAGGTGACAATAGATTACAAAACACAATGAAAACATGACATCATATGCTCTTTGATACAGCAAATATAATACATAATGGCTGAATCAGGCTGATAAATCAAAATTTCAAAGACTCCAAACTATGATCTATGAACTACTAATGTGTACAACATTAACTGGCCACTTTTAACAAACAAGCTACTGACCATCATTGAGTGTTTGCATGTTCCAGTTGAAGCCGTTGCCACTGTCGACAGTGTACCACCAGCAGCTGCGATTCTTAAAGTTGCAGTTTTCAAAGGAACTCTTTGCATAATGAGGAGTGTTATCTGAAATAAATAGGTATTCTTATCTCATATAGATTCACGAGCAAACATTTGTATCCCACTTAGATCCACGAGCAAACATTTGTATCTCACTTATGCCGACAAGCAACCATTTGTATCTCACATAGATCCACAAGCAAACATTGGTATCTGACTTAGATCCACAAGCAAACATTTGTATCTGACTTAGATCCACAAGCAAACATTTGTATCTCACTTAGATCCACAAGCAAACATTGGTATCCCAATTAGATCCAGGAGCAAACATTTGTATCTAAGTTCACAGAGCAAACATTTGTATCTCACATAGATCCACAAGCAAACATTGGTATCCCAATTAGATCCAGGAGCAAACATTTGTATCTAAGTTCACAGAGCAAACATTTGTATCTCACATAGATCCATCAACAAACATTTGTATCTCACTTAGATCCACGAGCAAACATTTGTATCTCACATAGATCCATCAACAAACATTTGTATCTCACTTAGATCTATGAGCAAACATTTGTATCTCACTTAGATCCATCAACAAACATTTGTATCTCACTTAGATCCACGAGCAAACATTTGTATCTCACATAGATCCACAAGCAAACATTTGTATCTCACTTAGATCCACGAGCAAACATTTGTATCTCACATAGATCCACAAGCAAACATTTGTATCTCACTTAGATCCACGAGCAAACATTTGTATCTCACATAGATCCACAAGCAAACATTTGTATCTCACATAGATCCACAAGCAAACATTTGTATCTCACATAGATCCACAAGCAAACATTTGTATCTCACTTAGATCCACAAGCAAACATTGGTATCCCACTTAGATCCATGAGCAATCAGTGGTATCCCACTTAGATCCACAAGCAAATATTGGTATCTCACATAGATCCATCAACAAACATTGGTATCTCACATAGATCCACAAGCAAACATTTGTATCTCACATAGATCCACAAGCAAACATTTGTATCTCACATAGATCCATGAGCAAACATTTGTATCTCACATAGATCCACAAGCAAACATTTGTATCTCACTTAGATCCACAAGCAAACATTTGTATCTCACTTAGATCCACGAGCAAACATTTGTATCTCACTTTGATCCACAAGCAATCATTGGTATCCCAATTAGATCCACGAGCAAACATTTGTATCTAAGTTCACAGAGCAAACATTTGTATCTCACATAGATCCACGAGCAAACATTTGTATCTCACTTAGATCCATCGACAACCATTCGTATCTCACATAGATCGACAAGCAACCATTTGTATCTCACATAGATCGACAAACAACCATTTGTATCTCACATAGATCGATAAACAACCATTTGTATCTCACATAGATCCACGATCAAACATTTGTATCTCACATAGATCCATGTGCAACCATTTGTATCTCACATAGATCCACGATCAAACATTTGTATCTCACATAGATCCATGTGCAACCATTTGTATCTCACATAGAACCATGAGCAAACATTTGTTTCTCACACAGATCCATGTGCAACCATTTGTATCTCACATAGATCCTTGTGCAACCATTTGTATCTCACATAGTTCCACAAGCAAACATTTGGCAATTTATTAACTGTATTAACTAACGGTATATTATACATGGGGAGGTTCACTCAAACACTATATTCTCACGCATTTTCTCAAGTTAATTATGGTATTAATGATGCAAAAACACACCCAAATCTATATGTATCTCTCAGAGGTCCTTGAGCAATCAATGTTCACTCGACTTGAAGATGGACTCATTTGCAGACTTGTTTGTTTCTTTGTTGTTTGACGCCGAAATCAGCAATATTCCAGCTTTGTGAGGCGGTCTATAAACAATCAAATCTGGACCAGACTATCCAGTGATTCAATTCATGAGCATCGATCCACACAATTGGGATACGATGACCAATAAAGTCACCAAGTCAGCATGCCTGACCACCCAATCCAGTTGGTTGCCTCTTACGACAAGCATAGTCACCTTTTATGGCAAGCATGAGCTACTGAAGACCTATTCTACCCTGGATCTTCATGGGTCTGCAGACTCGTGATGAACATGATGTCACATGACTGCCTTGAAATGTGAGTGACAGTTGGTGCAAAATAAAATGTGTTTACAGAATAATTTGCAAATAAATGTTAGATAATTTTTAATGGCAATGTAAAGATAAATAGTTTGAGCAGTTGGGAAGCCCTTAAACTACAGCGAAAACCTGCTAGCCAAGACCTTATTTGTCCATAAAAGACCTGGCTTCTGGAGAATCCTCTTGGGAATAGATACACAGAAAATCATGAAATTAATGTGAAGAATGCTAGTGTCCCATGCTTGCATTAATAAAATGAAGCATTTAATTTGGACATTTTGAGATCATTGTCATAACATTAAACAATTTAGTAAAGCACTAGATTGAGTGTTTCTCATTGAGCACTGTGTCTGGCCTGGTGGTGGCTGGTTTATACAAGAGGATCAAACAAGTTTTGACAGTTGTCAACCATATCTAATGGCTGCAAAGATCTTCTGGATGCTGTCAAATAATGTAACAATAACAGGCAAAACACTGCTCGTCCTCAGCAAATGTGGCCTCGCTTATTAATATACAACTTTTCTTATTTATGTTCAAAAGATAATGTTCATGTAAGAACACACTGAACCTAAATCTTTGTTAATAAAAAGTATCCCATTACAAAACATTTCATATATTCCTCGTTCACGGACCAGCCAAGTCTGGAACTTCTCTTTTGATGTTATTAATATCCTGTTTTTATCAGGATTAGCTCTTATCGAGGAGAACACCCACAACAATGGGAATGCTCTGTGAACTATCGATTAATGTTGATGAATCAACAGAAGAAGTTGAAAGAGCATGAAAAGAAGACAACTTGATAATAAATCTGATTACCAAACAGATTCAAGAGAATTTGAACTCTCAATAGTCATGTCAGTTACAATGTTTGAGGCATAGAACAATCCTACACATCCTCCCACATATCCCCAACTGTATCCATGACCTCACAGATCACACTTCCTCCCACATATCCCCAACCATATCCATGACCTCACAGATCACACTTCCTCTCACATATCCCCAACTGTATCCATGACCTCACAGATCACACTTCATCCCACATATCCCCAACTGTATCCATGACCTCACAGATCACACTTCCTCCCACATATCCCCAACTGTATCCATGACCTCACAGATCACACTTCCTCCCACATATCCCCAACTGTATCCATGACCTCACAGATCACACATCCTCCTATCTATCCCCAACTGTATCCATGACCTCACAGATCACACTTCCTCCCACATATCCCCAACCGTATCCATGACCTCACAGATCACACTTCCTCCCACATATCACCAACTGTATCCATGACCTCAGATCACACATCCTCAAAAAAATAAAGAAAACAGCGTTATCCCTATCCCTATCCCCCGCCATGGGCACATTAGAACTATCAAAAAAGATTAGCGTAAAGACTTAAGAAGATATAGGCACTTAGGCTGCTTTATGTTATCAGATTGATTAAATGTGAAATTAATATACACAAAAGGGCCCTTCTCTGGAAAAAATAACTCAGTCTTAATAAGTATGTCTTAGATAAGCTAACTTCAGTAGTTTCTGAGAAAACTTGTCCCCATTGCACACACTAAGCACTAAGTTGAAAAGCACAGAGCAAGGGCCGTAACTCTGCAAAAACATTTACGAGACCAATTTTCAAACCCATTTGAGATCATGACCAGTAACATCATTGTGTAAAATTACATTTCTCTGACTTAAATAGTTCTTGAGCTTATTCGTCCCCTTTGAGAAGCGGACAGATGGATGGAAGGATGGATGGTCAGACAAAGCACTTCACTATTATTTGCCCGGTCAATGGGTCAGAGTGCACACAACTATCAATCTCAGCTCCCTAGGGAGTATACAACCCAACGTTCACGGTCACCCATCCATTTAGGACTCTTCGTGACAATGTTGCTTAACTTCGCCTGATTTTTTACCCTGTGCGCTGTGCACAGGACCACATGGTGCCAGGAGTATTGCTTCCTGTGGAACAATATCCTCGGGAAGAGGACTGTATATCCTTCCCTTGGTCAGTGTCCACACTTGAATTTTCTATATTTATACCTAGGACTAATTCATCGCTCACATATATACTCACCACACAATGCATGGGTCTCATCTTCACGGCATTCACAGTCATTCTTCAAGTTGCACAACCAGTCCCGTTTGATACATCTGGAACTTTCACATTGGAATTCATCTGGCTGACAAGTCTTAGTCTCATTTGCATCTGAAATGAAAACATATATGTTCACAATACATAAGTTGAAAGGAATGGATTATGTGTTTCATCACAAGATTGTATTTCAGTTATTGTGCGACTCGGAAACAGACTCTTTTATAATGTTCAAATAGTAGTGTCTTTGAATGTGTGTCTTCATATCATGACAGTAAGTGAAGAAACTGTTGCTAAAATCATACTAATCTAGACCTCTGTCTTCACCGGACTAAACTTTTGGCACCACACACATCTGGCTTAGACACTGTATATGATTGCATTTATAAATTAATAACAAGAAAAAAGTGAGCAAAGCTCACATACCCCGTTATCCCCGCTGGTCAACAACAAATGTTTTAAAAACTAAGATTGAGTTCCAGTGACAATTGACCCCCTCCCCCACCCCCCAAATCTCCCATGTTACCAGTGTTCACTACAAGGAAGTAGATCACCATGAACACCTTTGAATAAAAATTTGATTGAGGAGTTACATAAGAAGAATTATCAAAAGGACCAAAAACTGTTGATATAAAAACACATAAAAAATGGAACAATATCATATAAGAAAATCAATAAATTAATAATTTCCATCTAGCCTTAACATATATGGTAAAGAATTCATAAATTCAAACTAAGACAAAGCACAGATACTTATGATGATCTACTTGTGTGGAAACAATTTTGGAAAATATATTAGCTATACAAAACCAGTCATCAAAATTTCTAAATTCCATCATGTTTCCATGAAAACAGCAAAAGAGAAAACTTTCAGAATCTTATAAAAGATAAAAATCAATCATAGTGGTTAATGTAGCAAGTTTGCTGAAGCTAGGATACATAATATTGTAAACATGGATCGTACAAAAACTCAAAATTTATGTTTCACCATGATTCCATGGAAACGGCAAAAATAAAAAAATTCAGAATCTTCAAACTAGCAAAAGGCACAAGTACTCATTGTGGCAAAATGTGTGTAGCAAGCTTGATGAAGCTAGGATGCATAATTAAAAAGATATGGGCCGTACAAAACATCCACCCTAAAAGTTTAAGTTTCTTAATGTGTCCATGGAAACGGCAAAAATTAAAAAGTTCAGAATCTTCAAACTAGCTTTAGCTTTCGTAAACGGGAGTATAAATAGCAAATTGACATTGATAGGGCTGCCACATAACCAACAAATAGAAGAATCAGATTGCTGTCGGTACTTCTGCAAGACACCATTCAATGTTTCAACACCTGGCATATAGGTTGCTCTGTGGTTTCAGAGGAGATATGGAAAACGTAAGAGATTGAAAAGGACATCTTTGTTTGCAATACGCAGGTCAATCAATATCATTGGTCTGTATGCAAGGTCCATTTCAAACCTGATGTCATGTGATAACTGACTGACTGATTAACTTTTAACTGGTTGAATGTCACGTTATGTCAATTCTTTTTGTTTTAACACTGTGGCCTCTAAGTTCTTGGACAAAAACATATTTTCAAAACAAACCACACATTCTCCAAATGTATTATGTAACATGGTCAAAATAACAAATATGAAGCACAAACAAATCAGTGGATTCATATTTTTGTTTCCTTGGGGGAATATGTCTTATTACTTATGTAAAGTAGTTAATGGGTTTCTATTTCTATGTCTTATTACTTATGTAAAGTAGTTAATGGGTTTCTATTTCAAGCTGTGACACTGGAGGATAATCTAAGTCTGTGTCAAACATATTGAACATCTGCAGGCAGGATTCAGATAAGTTGTCAGGTTCATATTATGGAACAGCTCAGAATTTGCCCCTGGAGGAACAGTGGATTAAATGACCTTTAGTTGTTTTGATGATGTTATGAATAATTCCACTGATAACATACAAACCATTACAGTTTGCCAATAATATAAAAAATGTTTTCAAAGTGCAAGAACTTAAAAGAAACTTTTCTTTTGAATATGGATTTATCATCTGGCAATGTAAACAGCTTTAGGGTGATTAGTATCTGTTTAGGTGTTTATCGCTAATATCCAAACCATAGCCTAATTACTCCATAACAGCCCTGTAACTAAATCACCCCCGGGTCAAGACATGCAACGTGCCTGGGGCACTAGATCTTTCGCTGGGGGGCCACAAGTGTCATCCCTCCTTTTTTCCATCAGCTATAGTCTGCCATTCGCACACTGGCTCTCTTCAACTACACACGTGTTTCAACGTATCTGATCACTTTCGCTTTGTTCGTTTTGCTTTGTTCACAATTGCATTCATCAAAATTTCATCACTCATTGTACCTCCAAGTATCTCCAATAGGTCTGGTGCCAAAGAAGCAGACAGGCCACGTTCAACATTCAGTTAAGCATGCTGATGATTTCCATCAAATTCACCATTTATCTTATCCAAAGGGCAAATCTATCAATGTCTTTATGGACATAGAGGCCTGCTCCGTGGTGAAGATGAAGCTATTCATAAGGTTCAACAACTGGGAAAGGGAGCATTACTTGCAAAATTAAGTTGGCCTTTAGAATTATACCAGTCCATCCATCCGATTTCGAGCTACTAGGCAAAAGATTTGAAGGTGTTTTCTATTTGATAAATACTTACCATTCGGGTGCTCCACATCTTGTGCCATATTTGAAACAATTATTACCTTCTTCCATTGGTGCATACAATCCCACCTCCCAATGTGCCAGATCATGCCACTGCTTAGACAACCTCAACGTATGAGTACATACACTGGAACAGTTTGGGATCCCTATTGCCCACGAGACAAGATTGTCGGCCCCACTACACAACCGACATTCTTAGGGTTGGATATCTACACCAATGCATTGCTGATCAGAATCCGAGAGTCCAAGATCAGGGAGGTGACAGCAGAAATCCAAGACATCCTGTCGATGGGTAGCAAAAGGTCACAAAAAGGGCCCTTTAGTTCCCCATAGGCCTACCTGCAGGGCAAATGGTTTAGCGGCAGATGGCCAAACCAGTGGGTTACGGATGGAACTACATGCGACTTGACACTACTGGAGCTGTTTTCCATCACACTGGCCATCCAGCTTTGGTGCAAGCAACTAGTGAATGAACAAAAAGGTCCTCTTCAACATCCAAGCCGTGGTGGCAATAATCAACAACCAGTCTACCAAGGCCCCCAGAGTGATGAGCCTACTCCGCCGCCTAATCCTGCAGTGCCTCTGGTATAATATTCTGTTTCAGGCAAAGTATGTTTGTACCAAAGCTATCACTATTGCCGATGCTCTCTCAAGGTTTCAACTCAAACATACTCCAGGACCAGAACCCCAAATTATCCTGTGCAACGTACGGCTGATCTGAAGCAAGAAGCACTACCTTGCCCACAACAGGCATTCGTTCATTTCGATCATTCCCCCATTACTAGGTACCAATTCCAGACACTCCCTTAAAAGACTGTAGCACACAGCAACATAAATACTGCTTGCTATTCTTCTCCCTCCTTCCGCATTGGGGTGGCCACATCCACTGCCATGAACAAGGTGCCCAAACACCTCATACAACAATATTGCACGTGGAAGTCAGACTTCTTACAATAGCTATATACGGTTACCGACAAATTTAATGTTACACAACTAATTTCAACATTCTGAACATGGTATTTACAAGACTTCTTATTATTTACAGTTTGGATGGTGGGCTCCAGCTACATGGCCAGAGCATGGCAGTACTTGCTTCTGAAGGGCACCAGTCTGGACCAACCGAGTATGCTATATGGCTGGCGTGAGGTGGAATGAGCTGGATGGAGTTGGATGCCATCTATAAAGCACAGGTCAAGGCGACGCAGCACAGCCCCAGAGCCCACATCATACACCTGGGTCTCTAACGACCTGTGCTTGGTCAAGGGCAGCCAACTCTACCTTGACATGGTGGCTTCAATCCTTCGGATATGACTCCAACTTCCTGACACCAGGACCATCATATCCACAATGCTGTCCAGGTGCTACTGGCACGATGCCAAGGATCCAATCAAGATCGAGGGCATGTGGAAGAACATTAACGGCAGGCTTGCCAACCATGTGAGGGAGCTTGGTGGAACAATAGTGCCACATCCCCAGATTCTGGCATCAGACAGGACATCAACCTCAGCAAAAAAAGCATGGTTCTTGTGGGCAACCCAGATAGTAATAAATTAACTTGATTCCAAATTAATACTCGCGTTTAAGGATACCTGGTTTTCAGCGGGAACCTTTCCGGGGTTGCCAGCTTCTCAGTGGGAACCTTGTCTTTCCCGACTTTTCAGCCGTGGAATCATTAAATAGCTCCTGTTGCACAACCAATTGCCACGTATATTGGCCTTGCAGCGGTAGTCGTCATGTCAGCAGTAGTCGAAATTTTGGGGTGTCAAGATAGGGATGTGCATGTGTAAGAGCAAATATGTTCCCCCTGAACATTTGTTCTGGGGTAATCGATATACCAGGAGTATTGGTTCCTGTGGAACAAAATACCCGGGGTGAGGACTGTATTTCTTTTCCTGGACCATTTTCTACATACAAATTTTTAGGACTTATTCATCACTCACACATGCACATGGCTGCTTGTACTAATCCAGATTTTACAGTGCTAACTCACTCAGATGCCATGCCACAGTCTCTCACAAAGGTATGCAGCTGCTACATAATGACTATTGTGAAACCTACCTGGACCACAGTTGTGCAGCTCCAGTCCATCAATGGCCACAAAGGAAGAAGAAATTCGAAGCTGGGCAATTATTCCAATTCGAAAAGGGAGTTTCTTCTCTCCAATGTGCTCCTCATGGTATGCCCAACTGAAACATTGAAACATATCCATCTATTACACAGAAGAGATCGTCTCTCCAATGTGCACCTCATGGCATGTCGAACTGAAACATATCGATCTCTAACACAGAAGAATTAATTTATATCTTCTCTCTGATGTGCACATAATGGCATGCCCAATTGAAACATATCGATCTATAACACTGAAGAGTTAATTCATATATTCTCTCCAATGTGCACCTCATGTTAGGCTTGGACGGGTAACTCGGGTACTCGTGTCGGGTGGGTCCTGAGTAGGACCCTTGTACCCACAGTACTACCCGGACCTGTGGTTAGTCACGTGATATATTGTTTAATGACAAAAACTCACTATAGATCAGTGGTTACACAACAAGTCGCTAATGCTTCTTACAATGCAAATGCTAATGCCCATTTCTTTCTGACAATGCACACATTCCCTTTGACTTGTGTATGTTTGAGTAAAGATAAAGCTTCATCAACTTCAGTGTACCCATGATCTGATTGTTTGCTACATGTATCGAAATAGTTCTTGCCAGGGCTGCTGTACAACAATTCTAAATCAGACATGTTGTTCCCACATCTTGAGATCTACAGAAGGTACCTGGGTAGGGTCGGTTAATAGGGGATCGGGGACCGGGTAGTAACGTAAATTTGGACTCGTCCCAGCCCTAACCTCATGGTATACCCTCTTGAAACATTGAAATATACGCTATACCACCTCTGACTGTAGTTGTATCAAAACTTTCATTGCAAACAATTCTTAACATTTGTAAATAAAATAAATAGCTTATCAAATTAAGCAACATGTTTACTTCATGGCTACATAGAGGATCAGTCACAAGAGGTGCAGTCTCATCTGTTTTAAAGTAGTTGGGAAATAGATTACCATCTTTAAATCTTGCATCTTTTATTCAATGACAATAGAAGAACAAGATCCCAGAACAATAAGTCTGACTTCTGACTAATTTCGAATTTGTACTGACGAAGTTTCTCATCACCCATTCCTTTGCCGGACTTCGCTGAAAGGGTACGGTGTAATTTTTTTCTGCGCATAATATTCAAATTTCTTTTTTTCCAAAATATTAAACCCGCTAGAGGGGGGTGCGCATTATACATGGGTGCGCACTATACTCAAGAAAATACGGTACTTATTGCTAATGGGATCCATGATGTCATGATTATCATGAATGCTTATTGTTATTATTGTAAATGTGAAGCTCACATATTTCCTTATATGGGTAAAAAACCCATGGGGATTCCAGGTAAGAATATTGGTCCCCAGCAACCTACACTAAAGGTGACTAAATGGATCTGGTGATCAGACTCTATGACTTGGTTGTCTGCATGTCATCATGTCCCAATTGTGTGGATGAAAGTTCACTGGATCATCTTGTCCAAACTCAGTTATTTACAGACCACTGTCATGTAGCTGGAATATTGGAGTGGGTGTTAAGAAATGAACAAACAGTATAAGCATACAAAGGTTAGGTGGAACATGGTCCCCTAGTGGATCATAATGGAAAACTAACACCGGGGGTTAGGATTCCCAACATAAATACAAAATGAGGAAGCGATTCTTGGTGTCCCAACACTAATGTTGCTAAACTTCACTCCCTCACTCACACATTTCTACCCAAATGGTCATTACTGAGTGAGCCAGGTTCCTAATCTTTCAGCAATAGATTTGTTCTGATGTCCCATGATTTCTGTAAAAGATCCATAATACTTTGATCGTCACTAAAATGTCAGATTCTGTCTTGAGAGCTTCGTAATGCCAGCACAAAGAAGTCTGAGTTTAAAGTCAACTTCGGCCAAATGATGAAGGTATTTGATCAGCAAGGGGCAAAGATGCATAGGCACAGTCTTTGGTAATGCGAATAGGAAAATCAATAGCCAAGTCTAGTAGGTACACATGAGTGTATGGCCTGTAATGGCCCACTACCCCATATTAGCCCTGTCTTTTATCTCCAATAATCCGCTGTTTTCTGTGTGTAGCAGATGCAATTGTGGATCTATTCTGAATAAACATGCCAGAGATGGACTACACAGAATTTATGAGAATGCCCTGAAAGCCTGCGAGGAGTGAAATTAGTGTGAAAAAGGTTAAATTGGTTTACTAACCAACGTTAAGTTCAGACAAGGTGTTCATTGACCAAAGCAACAAATTACAAAAGATTCTTTGTTCAAGTTATTCCTGTAGCTTGTATGGTCATAGAACATGCTCCTTATCGTGCATGACGTTTGCTATACATGTATATCACATCCCAAATGAGCTTCCTCCCCCTATGTGTACAATGTGTGAAGCCCATTTCTGGTGTTCCTGCCATGATACATGTATTTAAGTGTGGGTTCGAATCCTGGACGGGAATCAACATCAACCAAAAAAGTACGAGAATCTGTACTTTACAAAGAAAGTGTTATTCCAAACATAACATTTGTTACATTTGACCACTTTCTAAATGGCATTGTGTATTCAAGGCATTGTGTATTGATACATGTATTGTTTGAATACCACTAAAAGTAAAGCCATACTCACTCACCCATTGATCATCTTCTCTATATAAGGATTTGTTACTTTATCCTATCGTGAAGTATCATCCCCCTCACGACCCTGCATTATATTTGTTATACATCACATCTCCACAGGGCATCTTCTTCTGATTTGACATTTTATCGTATCCTAAAAAAACATCCCACTGATCACCTTGCATTATATTTGTTATACATCACATCTCCACTGAGCATCTTCTTCTGATTTGACATTTTATCTTATCCTAAAAAACCATCCCACTGATCACCTTGCATTATATTTGTTATACATCACATCTCCACATGGCATCTTCTTCTGATTTGACATTTTATCTTATCCTAAAAAAACATCCCTCTGATCACCTTGCATTATATTTGTTATACATCACATTTCCACTGAGCATCTTCTTCTGATTTGACATTTTATCTTATCCTCAAAAACCATCCCTCTGATCACCTGGCATTATATTTGTTATACATCACATCTCCACATGGCATCTTCTTCTGATTTGACATTTTATCTTATCCTAAAAAACCATCCCTCTGATCACCTTGCATTATATTTGTTATACATCACATCTCCACATGGCATCTTCTTCTGATTTGACATTTTATCTTATCCTAAAAAACCATCCCTCTGATCACCTGGCATTATATTTGTTATACATCACATCTCCACATGGCATCTTCTTCTGATTTGACATTTTATCTTATCCTAAAAAACCATCCCTCTGATCACCTTGCATTATATTTGTTATACATCACATCTCCACATGGCATCTTCTTCTGATTTGACATTTTATCTTATCCTAAAAAACCATCCCTCTGATCACCTGGCATTATATTTGTTATACATCACATCTCCACATGGCATCTTCTTCTGATTTGACATTTTATCTTATCCTAAAAAAAACCATCCCTCTGATCACCTTGCATTATATTTGTTATACATCACATCTCCACTGAGCATCTTCTTCTGATTTGACATTTTATCTTATCCTCAAAAACCATCCCTCTGATCATCTTGCATTATATTTGTTATACATCACACCTCCACTGAGCATCTTCTTCTGATTTGACAGTTTATCTTATCCTAAAAAAACATCCCACTGATCACCTTGCATTATATTTGTTATACATCACATCTCCACTGAGCATCTTCTTCTGATTTGACATTTTATCTTATCCTCAAAAACCATCCCTCTGATCACCTTGCATTATATTTGTTATACATCACACCTCCACTGAGCATCTTCTTCTGATTTGACATTTTATCTTATCCTAAAAAAACATCCCTCTGATCACCTTGCATTATATTTGTTATACATCACATTTCCACTGAGCATCTTCTTCTGATTTGACATTTTATCTTATCCTAAAAAAACATCCCTCTGATCACCTTGCATTATATTTGTTATACATCACATTTCCACTTAGCATCTTCTTCTGATTTGACATTTTATCTTATCCTCAAAAACCATCCCTCTGATCATCTTGCATTATATTTGTTATACATCACACCTCCACTGAGCATCTTCTTCTGATTTGACATTTTATCTTATCCTAAAAAAACATCCCCCTTATCACCTTGCATTATATTTGTTATACATCACATCTCCACTGAGCATCTTCTTCTGATTTGACATTTTATCTTATCCTAAAAAAACATCCCCCCTATCACCTTGCATTATATTTGTTATACATCACATCTCCACTGAGCATCTTCTTCTGATTTGACATTTTATCTTATCCTAAAAAAACATCCCCCTTATCACCTTGCATTATATTTGTTATACCCTGTATGATGTTTGTTATATATCACATCTCCTTTGAGCATAACCTCAACATTACTTTGATATATATATCTTATCTATAACAGCCCTAGTGGGAATCCCCTCTCACCACAATTCACGCTGTTCTTAATACAAGAGGTTTCTATTCTTTTCTATACCATCAATGATCATCTATTTCTTTTTCAAACCAATCATCAATCTTGAATACTAGACCACTCACTTCATGCCTTTTCCACTTTGAATAAAGCTCTTCGGATTAAATAAACTCTCATCCTGGATCTGGTCACTGCAGGAGTTTATCATGACAATTTCGATGCCCTCGTACTCAGTGGCAACATATACCACGGCATGGAATCGAAGAGTACACATGGGTCCAGTGGATCCCAGACAGTGGCTTGTGAGGACGGCCGGGCCGGTCCTGTTCTTCATGGCAAGAACATAGCGCCCTGAAAATAGAGACAATTGAGATGTAAGGCTATTGAATACATCAAGTCTTTGAATGGCATTTAGAAGTGATGCACATAATAAATAAATAAGAGAAGTTATGGATGTCATATACAGGTACATATATATGTTCTCTGCCTCATAGCATTTATTCCCCTGTAGGAGTAAGGATATACTCTGAAATGTTGTGTTCCTCATAATAAAGAAGTTGACATCAATAAATTCTCTTCCTTATTGAATACTGATGCTGTTTTATGGCTCTTATCCACTAAGTGATGCTTTGGAATACATATAAATCTTGATACTTTTTCTTTAGAGGTTCCGCTTGTACAAAACTGTTTATTTGTTATTGTTTAATGCACAAGCCAGCAATATTCCTGCTATCATGGCAGTATGTAAATAATGAGTCTGGGACAATCCAATGATTGTTAAATATGAGTGACATCCCACACCATCAGAATACAGTTAAGTGTGAACTATGCAACTGTTTTACAATAAGGTGAAATGAAAAAAACCCACAAGATTTTATCACCACTGTTCACAAGAAATGATGAAATATACAATCATTTATCTTTCGGTATCAGTCCAAAAGCTTGTTTGCTTTTCATTCATTAGTAGCAGCCCTACTCTCAAAGTAAAAAATAACTGACACAAGTTACAGTTGAAATTTACTACCTTAATTTGGTTTATGCTCAGTGAAATTTACTACCTTAATTTGGTTTATCCTCGGTTTGCCACCTCACTGTAAGGGATTAACAGTAGTTGTGTTTTTACATGCATAGGGGTCATCTCAGTTCACGTCCAGCTTTGGGACTGTCACGAAGGTGCACATGAACTTAACTCAGTCTGATTTTGTATAATTGATAAGGTGAACATCGTTCATGCTAATCATTGAATTAAATGGAAAAATGATGTCTTCACCGCTATGTGTGTTCAGTAACATGTTAGTGGCATATAAGCTGGTACAATGTCACGGATCATCATTGCAACATGGCAAATGCACAAGCCGATATTCAGTTTGTTGCTGACAAACACAATAGCCAAAACATTGCACACCAGTTCCAAGATAAGAGAAGACAAGACACAAATATACATTGGAAATGTTGTGTTTCTACTTGTCCAGGCACCATCAACACCTCGCATAGCCTCATCACCACCTACAGATAGACCCAAAACCACCTTCCGAACCAAGTACTAGTGGACAAGTTCCTGGTTTGTGTGAAGGATAACGTGAAGAGTCACAGCAGTGGCTTGATAGGCCTGGAAGAAATGTGTGGCCCTCAAACCACAAGCCACGTTGAAGGGTGGCACACAAGGTTGAACAAAATTGGACATTCTCACCCAAACTTATTTAGGTTTATGACATCTTGAAAATAGAGCAGCTTGTACATGGTGGCAAGCAGCTTCCCAGGAAGAAGAATAGGCTTCTTGAAGACTGCTTGAACCCGGGTGAAGGAACACCTGATGACTGCCATCCAGTATGCTGACTACATGTATTTCACATCTTGTTGGACTGTAATGTGTTTTGTTTTGTATATATGCATGATTTATGATGTATTGTGTAGAATTCTATGGATGTAAAATGTATATGATATGTCGGTAAGATGTACAAAAAGTTATTGAATATGATTGTCTATATGACAATTAAAAAAAAATTATATGTCCAAATGTACAATGGAAATAAAAGGTTTGAGATGACCCACACAACCTTCTATTGTCTATCCAATCAGTACGCCTCACTGCACTCCCTAATTGAAACAACAGATGGTGGCAAATCGAGGAGATCCCTATAATTTATCAAGTTAATATGCCTAACCTGGACTTCCTTCTCTCCGGATTCTGGACTTAAATTTTTGGACAAATCTATCATGTGATTGACAAATTATGTAGCACATAGATTAATGTCAGCCGCCGATAAGTTGGATGCCCATTGGTTAGACAGCTTAAGACAGCACATTTATGGTTAGGTGAACAGCAAGTCAACTAGCTGACAGTACACTCCTCTGAGTGTAAGGACTGTTCCATTACAGCTATGGGTATTGTCCTCATTAATCCCCACCTCACTGTTGGACATATTCAAAGCATGGAATGAAAGATCCACATTTCAGAAATAGTGTAAATGACTGTGTAAACCAAAGATGTATATAAAACAAGCTTGACAACGGTGTTAGCAACCCCTAAAGCCCCCCTCCTGGGTTGCACAAACTCACTTTTCCCCTTTACGGAAACACATTAAATGGCCTGGCCGGGCCAGTGTGCGACATACGTTTGCAGTCAGAAAGCGCACGTTAAATCTCCAATATAAGTAAGTAAGTAAGTAACGGTGTTAGAACCTACACTGAAACGTCGCTCTTAATTGTAATAAAGAAGTTGTTCATAAATCCATAAATTCTATCCTTACTTAGTACTCCAACTTCTAACTGCCTATCAAAGAGGCAGGGTGTATATTAACATCTATATATGTCTTTGTGCAAACACAAGATGACTGACTTCCAAACCAATCTCATTAAAATCCTATCTTCATGTGGAGAGGTGAGGTGAGGTGAGGTGAGGTGAAATTGGGTTTAACGTCGCGTCCAAGATTATTGCACTTATATAGCGACGTGCATGCACGTGTATGTGTGTGTGTGGCTGCTTGTACTAGTCCGGACTGATGCCGATTTATAGTGCTAGCTCACTGAGATACCATGCCGCAGTTTAACATGGATACCCCACTCAGACACAGTATACTGACTCCAAGCCGACCAGTCCTTGTTTTAGCCCCTTAATGCCGAGCGCCAGACAGGGTAACAACAAGTACAATCTTTTAACGTCTTTATGTATGACGCGGCCCGGGATCGAACCCTGGACCTTCCTCACTCCGGGCGGACGCTCTACCACAAGACCACGGAGGCGGTCTCATGTGGAGAGGTCTCCTATCAGAGTAAAAAAATTAGATTTGAATGAAAATGACTTCAAAAATAGTTTACTTGCCATGTTTGCCTCTAAATTCAAGAGCTCTCTGACTACATCAATATATATATACTCACCAACAAAAGAAACGTGCATACCATACATGTTGGTTAATATATGAAGAATTTCTCTTATTTAAGAGATTTTAGATTGGTTCGATGCACAAACGAACATACTGTTATGTTGTGTGAACCGATGCCCATGAACGCATCACATGTGACGTCATAGATCCATGACTTGAAATGCACCATTTGACTCGTGCAGGATCAGCATGTAAAGATTGGAAATCATGTGCAGCATATCGTGATAAGAATAAAGACACTATGTGGTAACACTTGACCGATTGTTAGTTTTGTTATTAAGCTGTACACATTGGAAACATCTCTTCTTCATGTACACAGTTCTATATGTTTCAGTAGTTTTAGTGGTGAGTATACATTTACAAATCTAGGTTTTATTACAAATGTTCTTGGAAAGTTCATGAGTTTCATAAAAATTCTATCTACCGTAATTTTAATTATTACCGACATTACATATGTCCTTTCATTTGTGTAACATCATTTTGGTTTGAAAAAATCTGAAAATATTTTTCATTTTCATTCTGGAATCCTTATTCAAATTTCACTTTCAATGATAAAAGAACAGTGATTCATTGATGTGCTCCATCAGGGTCTAAGATCCCGACCCGGCATTCTGAGAGCGTTATTCAGATATTTACTGCTGCTGATGAACACATTATGTGGTGATGGTATTGAATGGAAAGTAATTATTTCCCAGTGACATGTGACACGGATGTAGATCTATGTAACTATGATCGTAGATGATGATGCAAAATGTATGCAAAAATTAGACCAATAACAACTAGTGTAAATAAATTCTAGTATTATTTTATGACTGGGTGTTACATTCTGGTTTCTTCGAAGAAACATGCCGACATGCTCACATTATTGATCGAGCCTTATAACCAAACGAATGTGAGACCAAGGCTGTGATTGGTTCATATGTGATAATGTTTCAAAGTTATGAAAAACCTGGACACAGCCGGCACTCTGTATGCACCTTATATACATGTACATTACGTGTACATTATTACACGGTTATTCGAGCAATTTACGGCAAAAGAGTGAGTGAGTTTGATTTTCTGCCGCTTTTAGAAATATTCCAACAATATCACGGCGGGGGACACCAGAAATGGGCTTCACACATTGTACCCATGTCGGGAATCGAACCCCGTTCTTCAGCATGACGAGCAACGCTTTAACCACCAGGCTACCTGACCGCCCCTCGAACAATTCATAAAAATGAAACAAACACAGATTTGAGTGAATGAAAGATATATGTCGTTCAGATTTACTTGCAGTGGTTGCCATCATTGAAATGGTAAAGGCTATCAAACTAAGATTTATTCTATACCCTCCGTAATTACACTATCTAAACAATGAAGTTTCAATGGGTATATTTAGGTCTCTCACGGTTACTCAAGTCTTGATTAAATACTGGAAGCTTTAGTTTCTGTTGTTATTTCATTACACGTTGTTGTTGGTTTGTCGTTTTACGCCGCACTCAGCAATATTCCAGCTATATGATGGCTGTCTGTAAATAATCGAGTCTGGACCAGACAATCCAGTGATTTATACCATGAGCATTAATCCACGCAATTGGGATACGATGACATGCACCAACCAAGTCAGCGAGCCTGACCACCTGATCCCGTTACTCGCCTCTTATGACAAGCATAGCCACCTTTTACGGCAAACATGGGTTGCTGAAGCCTATTCTACCCCACATCTTCACGGGTGTCATTACACGTGGTTGGTTTGAAGTTCGAAGACACTTCATATGTTATCTTACCAATGACAAGCGGAGATGAGTATTAGATCAAACAATGAGGCTTAAGTTTCTTAATTCTGTGATTGGATTTTATGTCAACATAATGCCAGATCTGTATAGGCTATGTTTTTCACAACTGGAGCAAAAGGCAGAATGGTTACGACAAAGAAGTATAATGATATATGTATGTATTTAGTTACAATCACATGCAGACGGATACAATGTATCATGAACGTAATTGTTTTATACAGTTTATTTGTTTTAACACGCTTTTTAGGGAATTTCTTCATGAATTCTTGGGAGCCAAGGGTTACCCCACACTGCTTCCAGGCTAGCGGTATATCGAGGAATCACTGTATATATTACCTGGAGCTAAGCGATTGAGTGAGTGAGTGAATATGGTTTTATGCCACTTTTAGCAATATTCCAGCAATATCATGGTGGGGGACACGAAAAATGGGCTTCACACATTGTACCCATGTTGGGAATCGAACCCTGCATGGTCCTGGCAGTATTTGTGTTTTTCATTTATGGTGTAGAGAGAAAGATGTCTTTTATCATGATAACAGCCAACATTTGATGATGTTGGTATACATCAGATTTGCTGTGCCATTTCAATTCTCAGATATTCATTTATTAATTAAATACTGCTTTTAGACAACTGTGTGAGACTCCACAACCCTCAAATAAAAGAAAATTGAAGGAAATCATTTTTTAGAAAAAACACAATTTCTGTATTCCACATTCTACAAACTTACATATTCACCACAAAAACATCTGCATAGAATATGTGAAACTGTCAGACAAACAAACTATCATCTGTGTACAGATGGCAAACTTATGAATAAATTTTCACAGGATTGCAAAGGTGTTGCATGTTGTATTGTGAACTAATGGGCAAAATAATCAACAACATTCTCGCACCACTTTCACATGGCTGGAGAGCATTATAAATAATACTGTGCTTCAAAAGATGGAGCATAAGTGACGAGCGAACGCTTATGTATCAAGCGATATATCTAAGACTAAAGGATGAGGTAACTCATATGGGGAGGAAACACTTTCTAAATATTGAAAAACAAATTACTGTATATATGATTTAATTAAAGATAAATAACAGTGCATTTAGTGCAGAAAAAAATAGATGTAAATGTTTCTTAACAATAATTAAAACTTGAAATAACTTACCTTGAGTGGAATTTTGAGTTTGATCTCTTCTAGGATACCATCGAGATTCGTAGCGGTGCTCCTCTGGTGTAATAGACTTAAATCCCTTGGACGTCCAGGGACATCCACAATCAAATAAGCTCTTTTGGTGGATTTCAAAATCACAGTAGAACCCTGCACAAGGTAAAATGTTCATCAGTACCATGCATACAATTATCTTGACTGGAAAAGTGGACTTCCTTTGCCAAGTGTCATCCATCCCAAGAAACATCTGAACACCACTGACACTGGATTCCTCCATCTTGCAGGGACTAGCCCTTACCCTATGATTGTCCTAAGTCCTCTATTCCTAAATGGATAAGAACAGTGTTATTCAGAGGAACTTTTGAACAGGTTATTCTTCAGGACATCCAAAATAAGTAAATTGTTATTGCATTTCTTGAAGCTTGAAGAATTAATTAATTGATTTCTTCTTCCATTCAAATCACAACTATGTTGAAACTCCATATTTCATTGATTTAAGTGTGAAGGGCTGTCGACAAATGCCTCACCAAAACATTTGCACATAAACTCAATAAAAGATTCTCCTCATCCTTTGAATGTATCCACATCAGACATGTATTCATCTCATTCCTCCACACGAATGTTCATGTATCAGTGGCCCCTCTATCAGGTGGGCACTGCACAGCTATATATGCCGTGGAGCCCACTGATTGACACAGCCCTCAACAGCCCACGTTAACAGCTTAAACACTGAATCACTCCTCCAATCATTGGCCACATCCCCATTTATTGCAAACACATAAATATAAGGATGGTGCAACCCTGTGACAGACTTTCCAACTTCCCCATACCGGTGACTTGGTGTGAGATCACAAACCAAATTACAGCCTATTTATCAAGTCCAATTCTTGTCATATGAGAGTCCCCAGAGGTACTGGCAGAAACAAATACCTCGGTCTCAAGCTGTGTCACCTCATGCAGGTTTTATCAATGTGAGATTCAAAACTGTTGCCCAGGATTCAGAACTGTTCACATCACCAACTCTAATCTCTGACTACTGGTTTAAGCAGCCCGGTGAGAAGCCTTGTGCTATACACTACTGATAAAAGTTGTCCAATGAGAAGCCAGTCCTCGAATGCTTAATGACACTTAGCTTTCATCAATTGTTGCTCCTTGAACGGTCAAAATGTAGACTAAATCAATAACAAATTCCTATTTTGAAAACATGAAAGGGATGGCTATCATTTACAAAGTTTAATTGTTTATTCTGTGAATTAATTGCTACGCTTTTCTAGTATAGAACCTGAGTCACTGATATAATAATAATAATAATAATAATAATAATAATAATGGTATTTACTTATTCTAAAATACTTCAGAATGCTTGTTTCATTTGATTTTCAAAATGATATAAAGCAAACTTTAATAAAAGTTTCTATTGATAACTTTGCTATATTCTTAACAGTATTACTTATCAAAATGCATCCATCACACATTGCACATTTCATTGTTTTGGCACTGAACCATTCTGACATAAACTTTTCAAATAATTACTTTTATACACAATGGGATGCAAAACCTGAACCAAAGGAGTCAATTTGACAAAGGAATGGAATGAAATGGAAATCGGAGGCTCTTCACATCTCCATCATTAGTAGGCGTGGGTGTCAATTTGTGACATATTGTGCATAAACATATGTCTCAAGAGAACGCAAGGCAACACAATATCCCATTAAACTTTGAATGCACTATGTTTTACTTAAGCTTTGTCTCTGAGTTGTGTGTCTACATCAAGAGCATGAAAATATACACATAACAGTTCAAAAGTATAATGTCGGATAAAAATCTTAATTCCTCAAGTTTGTGAGGGGGGGGTAGGTTTCTCAATATTTGATATAGTAACTAAATGAAACCGATCATGTTTTCATTCATATGCTGTTAGCAGTTGTCATTAAATGCATCCACTAGGGATGTTTCCATCTTAGGAAATAACTCTTTTATCCGACATCAAACTATTGAACTGGTCCCTTATGACACCATTTTTATGAGAATGAGTGTGCGAGGAAGTAGTTTTACAGAGCTTTTACCAATATTCCAGAAAAATCATCATGAGAGACACCAGACATGGGCTTAATTCACATGTACCCATCTAGGGAATTGAATGAGGGTCTTTGACGTGACAAGGAAACACTTTAACCACATGGCTACTTCACCACCACGCCATTTTAAAGATCATATGACAATATTATGTGAGTTGCTCCCCTATGAGCACATACATGAGGAAGCAATGCTCGTATGTTTGTTTCTTGTGTTATGCTGCAGGTAGAGATACTAAACAAGCTTAAGCGCCTGTCAGATACCATCTATAGCTTACAAGTTGTTTCAAAACGTATCTACTGAGCGAAAACGAGTTGGATGTGTTTTGAAACAAGTTGTGAGATAAATAGTATTTGACAAGAAGTAGTGTTTCTTACATACCTTAAAATCACACAATATTAGCATCAAATCAATGCATATATTGTCAATTCTTATGATCACTGTTTCAATTTAATTAAGAAATAAACGACGAGTTGGAGTTCTTTACTGTACAAAAAATTCCTGTGCAGCCCTGAGTGGTTTATTCTCCCTGCAGTGTTTTATTGTACCATAAACAATGACCACGAGTCGTCTATTTCTTATATGATATATCAACATTGTGTACAGCCTCTTTAAGAATGATGATAAAATGTACAAGCTTTAAAAATATACACCCTTATTTAAATAATGATGACTCCCTCAAAGAATCCGACCAGAGCAGGTCCACCTCTTGTCGGACAAGTCCATTTTATGTACAAGTGGGTATTTCCCGCATATTCTCACATCGATAACCTGTACCTTATCTCCCAATACTGATTATCATATCTCTCTCACCTTTGGATGTGATCGTTTGGTCATCATGTTTAACTGCGTTGCCCAGCTACATCTAAGGGGGAAAACTCACTAGACACTCCCTTCTCTAAAGTAACATCGTCCAATATACGATGTCATCAAGTTGCAAGAACATGTTCGAATCTCCAGAAATAATGTCATGATAGAACAATGTTTTATCGTGAAATATACCACACATCTTTCTTCATGATTTATTACGTAGCTATGTTATATTACATAATACAACAATCATGTCTCAGTGGTGTGATAGAGCTTACTGTTTACCACTCATACCTAGCATGACCCTCCACCAGATAATGCAAGCTAGACAACATTAACAAACATTTATTAAACACTCTGAAAGTATAATGATCACATGGGGATGAAAGGGCTACATGTAAATTGTGGCTACTTTCTGTAGTAAAAATCTGTAAATGAGTGGCCTGTGAATAAGGTGGCCTGTAAATGATGTGGCCTGAAAATGTGGGCCTGTAAATGATGTGGCCTGAAAATAAAAGGCCTGAAAATAAGAGGTCTGTAAATGGGGTGGCCTGTAAATGAGAGGCCTGTAAATGAAGTGGCTTGTAAATGTTGGCCTATAAGTGGGGTGGCTTGTAAATGATGTGGCCTGTAAATGAGGTGCCCGTAAATGAGGTCTGTAAATGGGGTGGCTTGTAAATGATGTGGCCTGAAAATAAGAGGTCTGTAAATGGGGTGGCTTGTAAATGAGGTGTTAAAGTGTCCCGTAAATGAGAGGCCTGCAAATGAAGTGGCTTGTAAATGAGGTGTTAAAGTGGCCTGTAAATGGGGTGGCCTGTAAATGAAGTGTAAAAGTGGCCTGAAAATGAGGTGTTAAAGTACCCATAAATGAGTGATTCGTAAATGGGGTGGACTTGAAAATGAGGTGTTAAAGTGGCCCATAAATGAGTGGCCTGTAAATGAGTGGCCTGTAAATGGGGTGGACTTGAAAATGAGGTAGTCAGGGACAGAATATCAGTTGTTGATAGTGTAGCGGGCATACATTTTCCAAGTCTTGAAAGGATTCGAACCACAGACCTTCTGATCCGAGGTCGGATGCCTTATCCACCATGGCCATCAACGTTGAGCCTACGTTGGCTAAATATCTTTGCCAACGTTGTAACAACGCTGACCCAACGTTGGGCCAATGATATTTAGCCAACACTGGCCCAACGTTGTCAAAATAATGTTGGCCTAACGTTGACAGAACACGTTAGAATAATGTTTGTTTTATTATAAAATACCTCCCAGGCAGCCTGAAATGTTTGTACCAATCTAGTTGAGACATGAGGTTGCAAGCAATACATTCTGCAAGCTGAATTCACTTTGAACACTATCCATGAAAGAGCAAGTTAATGAAATGCACTCTCTCTTGGCTTGGTACCTTGGGATAGTTTGATTTAGGGCCAAGAAAAAAATCAAAATGTTCTTAATTACATGTACAATTAGATTATATAATATTTATTTCCAAAACAACTTTCAAGGCTATGTGCAAATTGTTCACAAATGTCTCAATACAATTAACAGAGATTTGATTTTCCCACATGTTTGCAAATTAAAAACCATGAGACAATCAAGCCTTGCACAAAATGAAAACATTTAAATTTTTCTTGTATTTACCCCATACATTCAGCATTGAGAACAACACTGAGACAAGCATAAAAGTCAAAGCATCGAATGTCCTAAGATCCATTTCCTTGATCCATTAAAAAATATGACAGCAACAAAATGACAATTGAATTCTGGTTGAGGTGAAATTTATTTATTTGTTAAATAACAAGTCGGAACTGACAGGCTGAGTGGCTGAGGATCCCTTTTAAACAGTCCTCAAATGAAGAGTCAGAAGAACTAATCACGGGATGATCTTCAACTGTATCCATGTGCCTTGGCCACTGAATAAAACAATGACACAAATGTAATATAATGAAAAGGCAAGGGATATATTTTTAACATAAACAAAAAAAAAGTTCACCTTCCTCTTATAGAAAATAATAATTTGATGTTTAAAAAAAAAATAGTTTTAGCAGCGCTCCCTACCCCCAATGGTTATGAAACTGTTAAACGTGGGAAGGTGGCATTGACAATAATACCATGATGCTCTTGGATCATAGGCAGAAAAGCTTTTAACATTGAATTGAACAAGGCAAAAAGCGAGTAGGGCTCACTAATAACACCACCCTCTACTTCAACATACCGGTATTTCTAAGTTCAAAACGTAAAAAAAGCAATACTTTCTCAGAAAATCC